CACACACACACACACACACACACACACACACACACACACACACACACACACACACACACACAGTGACTCACATTAATATTTGGACAACATAATAATAGAGAAATTATTATTTTTCAATATAGTTTTTATAGGATTAAGAAATTTACGGATTTTTAATCATTAAAAATGTTCATTACGGATGTAAAAAACATTAATTTTCTTTATTTAATTAATATAGTTTTTAATGTAAAAAATATTAAATAAGTTAATCCTTAATTTTAGAATCGCAAAAATATTTGGATACTCAATATATTTTATATTTACTGACTCTCAGAAATCAAGTTAGTTTATTCCTTACTTGTTTACCGTGAAGTAAGTCATACAAAATATGTGACTTATTTCATGTTGAATTAATTAACTTAATTTCCCCAAGATCACACAAGTTAAAAGTGAAAATGAGACGTAAAAGCAAAAATAGTTCATTTGATAAACGCCTATTTTTCATTATAAAAAAGGCAAATCATATCGAGAAATCGATAAATTAATAAATTTGAATAAGAGTAGCGATAGCAGATATTAAAAAGGTATGTTCGTGAAAATCGCATTGAATCAATAGCTCAGAAAGGACAATCAAAATTATTTGACTCACGGGATAAACGTAAAATTATTAGGAAAATAATAATCCTGATTAAGTGCTACAAAATTTACTTCAGAATTATACGAAAAGATTAGCAAGAAGGTCACATCTGATACAGTTCGTCGAGCATAAAAGAAAGTGGTTACAAGAGTAGAGTTGCTCGTAAAAAGCCGTTCATAAATGAAGCGAAGAAAAGATTAATTTTCGCCAAGAAATTTATTTCTAAAGAATAAATATAGTGGAATGATGTAATATTCGCTGATAAGAGCAAATAATTTAAATTTTTGGATCTGACGGACGGAAAATGATATGGCGAAAAGCAAACAAAGAATTCAAACTGAAAAATTTGAAGCCAACTATGAAACACGACGGTAGAAATTTAATGATTTGGAGTTATTTCAAATAAAGAAGTGAATTATTCCGTTAATTTTCATTGATGGAATTTTGGATAAAAATAAATATTTAAATATTATAATATTCTAAAAGACAATTTAATAAAAAGTGCTAATAATATGAATATACGAAGTAGTTTCAAATTTTATCAACAATAATCCAAAACATAAATCGCGAATAGTGAAGAATATTTATTATACAATTGTCCAAAAGTATTACATCCTCCACTATAATTATCAGATTTAAATCCCATAAAAAATTTGGAATTTATTAGATCGTAACATTTGGATTACGTCTATAAGATCAAAAGAATTAAAATTATGATGATAAAAGACGAATGGACGCACATTACACCAGATTATTTAATAAAAAATTATTTCTAACATGCCTAAACGTTTGCAACATGTTATTAAACAAAAAATTATCCAATAAAGTATTAAAATTATTATCATTTCGTTTATATATTTATATTATTATATCTTGTTAAATCTCCGAATATTTTTGCGATACCAGAATTAAGCAAAATTCTGTCTATAGTTTAATATATTCGAAACTGTATATGTCATATAAATGTAATTATAGAAATAAAATTTATATTTCTAATAATTATAATAAATTTTTCAATTTAAAACAAAAACCGTAAATTTCTTACTCCAACAAAAATTATGTTTAGAAGGTAATAATTTCTAAAGTATCATGATGTCCGAATATTAATGCGATCACTGTATATATATATAAATAATTCCAATAATATCTCTCTGAGCTTGATATTACTTCCGACAGCGTTAATCATCGATGGATTAATCGAGTTCACGCGCGGCGCAAAAGTTTCCACGGCAAAATTGCGCGGTTTATGCGTGGTGCACCGGCGATTATTGTCGGATGGATGGTCGTGAACGCGTGTTTTGTTTGACCGCAACCACCCGTGTGAGTTTCTCGGTCTGTTCGACTATTTTCGTTTCAAGATACAGGGGGTAGCGTTTAAACGCCGCTCGCTCCCGCGCTTACCGCATCGAAAGTCTCGCCGCAAACAAAGTATCGAGTGTCATAATGCCTATGCAAACAGAAATGAAACGCTATATCCCGAGCGTTAATGGATTTAATTTATCTCGCCCCCTCCTGTCGCTCCTGTCTCTTCTCTTGGGAAGACCACGAGCGTTATGCATGCGATATCCGAATTTCGAGTCTGGCAATTACACGTTCGTATTTGACTGTGTTAAGAGAAAATAAATTCTTGATTATCGGAAAAACAAGGAAACCTCGCATTTGACCTTTTGAAGCTGATGCCAAAATCTGTAACATATGCTATCATGCATAAATGGATCTTATCCATTTAATTTATGATAATTAAGAGGTAGATATATACAATAATATAAAGAAAACTAAATTGTTTGACATTTTTGACAAAACGGTTTATAATAGATCCATTAGACCTATTGTCCGGAGAGTAAAAATATAGCAATCAATATAAAAATAATGATGCACTGATTACTCACTAATTAAGGAATCAAAAGGACATAAAATCTTGTACAAATTTTAGTATCTATATTTAAGTAAATATATTTTACTCAAAACATATTTTAATAAAAATAAAATTAATCAACAAATTTACAAATGTATAACATATTGAAAATTGAATTGTTTAATATTTATGATATAAATGAGAGTGGATTCAATAGATCCATCGTCAACTCCGAAGGAGAACTAAATAATTAACTATAGAGACTAAAATAATTAACAATAAATAAAAATCATGACACATAAAATCATCCCTATTAAACATTGAATTAAGAATTCCATGAAAGTGTTGACAGAAGTTGGAAATTTTTATTCTTATATACATATACATTATCTCATCGATTTTCTATCATTTGTTCCATTTTGTGGGGAGAGAGAGAGAGAGAGAGAGAGAGAGAGAGAGAGAGACGCGATTCTCTTTTTATTAAAAGGATGCAGAATATGATGATAACAAGCTCTGATCGAGTATATCTTTAAATACCGAAAGGTGAACCGTGCGAAATAAAATATCGGAAGCTTGTTAATCACGCACAACTGGGCGTGCAGCGAATTGACATTTTTCTTTCACATTTTCTCTACACGATCCACTCAAAGCGCGGAGATAACATGCTCGCACGTATTAAATTAGTGACGACCGGCATGAACGGGGCGAGATCCGTGACATTTACATACATTCGCGAATGATCGCGCAGATTTGACATTTCGGATCGCATCGTTCATATAAACTTTCTAATATTAAACAGCGAGAAGATTCGTAAAACAGTACAAATAATGGCACCGTTGTTGGTAGAACGACGACGTTATTTTGCATAACGAAAAAAAAAGAATTCAGGGAGAATGCGTGCTAAGAGATATGTAAGATATTGGACAAAAAATCGAAAAGGAAAGACAAATGACAAATTGGATCAGACTCATAGGGAAAGAACGATTCTATTAAAGTAGCTAAAAATTTAGCTAGATACAGATTTTGAAAATAATTTTGTCAATCTATTTATGAATTGCTTATCATACTTGAGTTTCTTAATTATTTTCATAATTATTTTGATGGAGGGCAATTAAAAGTACAATTTAAAAGTTTTCAAAAAAAATTTTAGTTCATGACTTACTTTCATCAAGTTATAATTATTTGAATTTTAAATTTCTGCATAATTACACTGCAGTTCAATAAAAAAAATCATTTTTTTCCTCTTTGAAGTGCTACATACCTTGAAGATTTTCTTACACTGTCGTCAAAATTTACGTAGCACATCCAATATACAGGATGCGTCATCAAAATCCGGACAAATTTCAATTTAAACTATATTCCACTATATTGTGCATCCGTCAGAGATTGTTGTTGGCATCCAAGAAAGCCTGATACTTCTAGTAAACAGTTATATTCTCAAAATGATCACGATGTTGAAACTAAGTGCAGAGTATAATCGAAGAGTCGAGATTATCGAAGGTCTTCGCGCTGAACGCAGCAATGGAAATAATTCGGTTCTTTAGATATCCAAGATTTGTTTATGACGTGGCAAAAATATACAGCTTTAGAACAGTTCAATGAAGGTTCCAGTGTGCCAGCGAAGAATCATTCAAAAGAATGCACCGTGAAGAATCCCACAGTCATTGAAAAGGCTCAAACACTGATTTCGAATGACCCAGGGCAATCGTTGCGAAAATTAGCATCGATTGTTGATGTAAGCGAGCCAACAATGCATCGAATTGCCGAGGAGGACCTTCGATACAAATCGTACACATTAAAGATACGACAGATGCTCTCTGAGGCTGCCAAGACAAGCCGAATTGCTCGCCTCGGCTTCCATTCTGAGAGCTTCCCAACAGATTTAAATCCCTTGGATTACTACGTATGGAGAGTATTGAAAGGGTCATAAACAAATCTTGCCATTCCAATGTAATGTCATTAAGGACCGCTATTAAGGAGGCAATATTCGTCGACAAGAACAGCGCTACATTATAACGTGCGAACGTTTCAGACCGAGAATAGAGGCCGTCATTTAAGCTAGTGGGGAATATATCGAATAATTGTGCCCTACGGGGATTCTCTAAGTGCTATGTAAAAGGATTTTTTTGCAATATTTAATTTTTCATTAA